CGATAATTGTCACATTATATTTCTAACTCAATAGTATTGTAGTTCGTATTGAGCAGAATTCAACAACCTAGGATATGACCTTCGGATGACCTTGAAGACGAACGAATCGAAGTTTCAATAGAAAATTACAATCGGCTCAATTAGGTGATATAATAACCTGTGTTTATTATCAAGACTCGAAATTACATTCAATTCAGAAACCATTGAAATTTTCTGTAATTTCGTGAAATATTTTCAACATTAGAAAATGTTAGTGCAGATGGATGCTGCCACTTGAAGTATCTTACACTATGAATATCTTACAGCAGATTTACTGTTCCACGTGCATTTCTTTATCATTCGCCACATATTTACAACATATCAACTTTCTCGGTGTTAGAATACATTGTCGACAAGGTAATATTAAACAACTATTTGCATCCGGTGACAAGTTAAGATTAAACGCCAGAGCTGTCTTAATAGCTAAGCCATCGCATGTGCACATTTGTTCTTTTGTTGCGAATAGTCCACAGTTCGTAGATAAGTTTATTCTTAGATAGAAATTTCCAGTAAAACACAAAATTTACACAAGATTCCTGAATTTAATGTAATCTCGAGACTTGATAATGAACACAAATCGGTCACCACTTATTCGAACTGTTCGTCAATTTTTGATGAAATTTAGATAGTTTTGCCTTCAAGGTCATTCGAAGGTTATACTACGTTAGACCGTTGGATTCGTCTTGGTACGAGCCAAAATACAATTAAGTAGAAAAATATAAAGCTTAAATATGAAAAATATTTGAAATTTCTCTCTTTGTTGCACTGTATAGCCAATTTATTTAATTAATTATTTGTTTATTAGATTACCACAAGTACTTGAAAAATCGTGAAAATTAGGGACATCCTGTATAAATGTGAATGCTATTTCATTTGTAACAGAACAGATTAATAAAGCAATGTTGCTATTAAATAGAAATTGAGATATATCCGTTTTAAGTTATAATGAAATTTAAAAAAATGTTCTCGACGCAACTGAAATAATTCTGAACAACATTTACAAATTATTTGAATATCCTGAAATTTATTATTAGTATAATATATAATATAATTATTTATCATATATATAGTATAATTATATGTATATAATATATATAGCATAATCATATATAATATATAACATAATTATATATAATTATATACTATAATTATATATAATTAGAATTATATTATATTTATAATATTTATATTTATTTATATTATATTATATTTATTTAAAATATTTATAATATTATTATATTTATAATTATATAGTATAATTATATATAACATATATAGTACAATTATGTATAATTGTATATAATATATATAGTATAATTATTATTAACATAACGCCTAAAAAGACCGCTCGATTCCCGCAGAGCATGGAGGTGGAGGAGTACAGCGGCGAGGCGTGCGACGTTAAAGAGGTGAATTCGCGGACGTCGAGGCAGGGTTTGCCGCCGACGCCGCCCAGCAGTGCAAGCTCCGACAGCGAGGGTACCGCTTCCGCTTCCTGCTCGCCGGAACGCCGAGATTCCCAGAGCTCCACGCACGCACAGAATCTCAGGGGCCTGCTGACGCCCAGGCTGTACGTGACGAACAGTAGTACGCACACCACACGGCAGCCGATCCACACACCCCTGATTTCCTGCCAGCCGGTGAGCATCTCAGCATAGCTCGTTCGGCACACCGCGGAACAACGCGGGCATATCCGTGCGCCGTAGTACGCCAATGTGTATTCACTCGCTTATTTTTCTCGTCGGTTCTGCAGAAAGGCTCCACGGGAATTCTCACGCTGACCGAGGAGGAGAAGAGGACGCTGATCGCCGAAGGATACCCGGTGCCCACCAAGCTGCCCCTCACCAAGCAGGAGGAGAAGTCGCTGAAGAAGGTGCGGAGGAAAATCAAGAACAAGGTGAGCTTCTGCTTCTTTATTTGGGATCTACTCGGGAATCTGTCTCGGTCTCCTAGAACAAAATCTCAGGGAATTTCTTTAACGTTAGAATACCTGGGCGGAAAATATTCCAACACCTTTTGGAACGCAATTACCTTTTTTCGAAACTCGACTTACTCTTGGATTTTGTTTTAATATTAATACTAGAATTATCGACGATTGATATATATCTATAGTTCTTGCAGGTTAAGAATCCAAGTTTGCTCTAATTATTTTTATTATTATTATTTATTATATTATTATTATTATTATTATTATTATTCAGTTTATAATCAATTCTCTTTCATTAAATAGGAAAGAATATATAATAATTGAAATGATCCCAGGAATTCCTCATTTTTGGATTGAGAGACATTTTTCGGACACCCTGTATATAAAAACGCATATAAAAAAATATTATATAACATTATACAAATAATTATATAAATAATATATTAAATATTATGTTACATATTATATTAAATATTACATTAAATGTTACATTAAATATTATATTGAATATTATATTAAATATTATATTAAATATTACATTAAATGTTATGTTAAATATTATATTAAATATTATATTAAATGTTACATTAAATATTATATTAAATATTATATTAAATATTACATATTATAATAACAGACTATTATTAATATTATTATTATAAGTAATTATTGGTCGCTCTAACCAAACGCCTATGGCTTCTCGTTGCAGATCTCCGCGCAAGAGTCACGCCGGAAGAAGAAAGAGTACATGGACGGTCTGGAGCGACGAGTGACCATGCTGACGAACGAGAACTCCTCGTACAGGGACCGGCTGAACGCGTTAGAGGACACGAATCGCGAGCTGCTGAAGGAGCTGCAACGCCTGCAGTCCCTGCTGCAGATGCAGAACTCCTAAGAGCCTGGCCCAGGAGCAGAACTCTCGTGTGCCGCGGGGACTTCGGATATTTCGTCCCAAAATTTGAAGACTGCCGGCCAAGCAGTCCTCTCAGTAGTGTTCCTGATGCGCAAACGTCGCATCGGGACCGTGTCGGTGCAATTTCAATTCGGCCCATCGAGAAAGCGGGCCTGGCTGGGGCCTCGGTCCCATTAGTTAGCTTCTAAGTCAGTGAGGAAAGGCCGAGGGGAGCCTGTTTCCCAGGGAGCTCGTGCAATCCCGTTTACATTCCTGCGAAGTCTTCCCATCGAGGAGACGGGTCGAGTATTTCGGATCGCTCTGTTCAACGACCAATTTTTTAACCTAAGATTAGTCTTCCCGGTTCCGTCGCGGAGGGGAATCGAAGAGGTTCGGTGTCCATTGACCGGGAGTGCCTTCTGTCGCTGGTTTCGGTGTCCCTTCATCCCGAGGAAGATCAGCCGTGATCCAAGCGCCGATCTTCGGGCGAGAACCCGCCTCGAACTTCGACGACCCTGTCAAACCTTCGCACAAGGTGGTCCATCTAAACGGGATCCGAATGCCCATTCGAACTCCCATAGTGCTAGAAATTTGCTGGCGAGTGACGACTTTAAGGAGGCTGCCGCGATGACCTTGATCACGATTTCATCTCCCGAGGATATTCTCCTGAATGGCCTGAAATAAATGTTACTAGTAGGCCAGTGGTTACTGTGGAGTGGACCAATTACTGTGCCGTTGTTTTGCTTGCCAGCGTAACTGACTGTATATTTTTGGAATAAGAAATATTACATTTTTCAATTGAAATATAAATGGCATACGAAAATATAAAATTTAATATATAACATTAATTATGCTGTGCCTTTGTCTTATTTCCGGGCATGATTAACTTCATATTTATCGAATAAGACATATCAAATTTTCTTGTTCTTTCATTTTGTGTATTTTTGAATGAAAAAATTAACAGAGCAGTTGTACTAAGACAAATGTTCGCTGATCTAATCATTGTATTATTTAGACACATTATTATCTATTAGAGAGCTTGAATGAAACTTTTAGATAATAGAATATTTTGGCATCAGGGGATATTATAAAAATAAATATTGCGATAAGAGAGTCTCTACTGTATGTCTTATTTGACAAATATAAACTTAATTACACCCGAAAACGACGCAAAGGCACGGTAATCGGTCACCCCACAGTAACTAGCTCCACTAGGCCATTTATTATAGTCTAGACTTCGATCATCGTGGAAAGAATAATCGAAGACCTTCAGAGTTCTGAAATAACGACCTTAGAAAAAATATATTCTTACCGAGCATCGGATGAGAATGCTTCGCTTATTAATTATAGTTCGAAGAGATAATCAGCTGCACCTCCTTAGATGGACCACCCTGCACGTCTATTGTCGATGATTTACGATTTATTGCGCTGCATTTTTGTAAACAAGTACCAAAATGATGGAATCGGTCGACAGAAGGATTCGATCGAGTTTTTTTTTTACCGTATCGATCCCGACGAATTTCGATCGGCGGTTGTCGAAGCTCCAGGCCTCGCCCGGGTCGCCCTCGTGTCCGCATAATTACCGAACATATTAACCGTTCGAGCGAAGACCGCGAAACGGTTTATTGAGAAATGATTTCGCGCGCCACACGCTCGGCAAGCGGGATCGTCGCGAAAAATCAAAAAGCCAAGAGACACGTTCGACCGCTCCGAATCAAATAAGGAGGGGATGTTAATAGGTAAGCGTGGAGAGAGTTTATTAACTATATTATATATAAATAAATATATATATATATATTAATCGTCGAAGTATTTATGACAGTCGGGAAGCAGTTTCTCGGACGCGTTCGCGCGATCCAGTTCGAATTTCGTGACGTCGACGACGTCGGCGTGTCCACGAACGTCACGTTATTTTAGGTATAATTCGCACC